ACACAGTGAAAGTAGTCCTGAGAGGGAAGTTCATAGTACTATAGTACTACCTCAAAAAATAAGAAAAACTGGTAATAAGTTATCTAGTGATATAATGTAACGAACTAGAAACAGAACAACGAGAAAAGCCAGGAACAAGTAGAAGGAAGAAAATAATAAATATCAGAGCAGAAATAAATGACATAGGGACAAAAAAAATACAAAAAATCAATAAAACCAAGAGCTGGTTCTTTGGAAAGATAAATAAGGTTGATGAACCTCTAGCCAGACTCATCAGGAAACAAAAAGAGAAGACCCAAATAAACAAAATCACAACTGAAAGAGGTGAAATCACAAGTGAACCCAGAGAAATACAAAGGATTGTAATAAAATACTATGAATGACTTAATTCCAACAAATGGTACAACTGAGGAAATGGACATATTCCTAGAAAACTACAACCTTCTAAAATTCAATCAGGAAGAATCAGAAAATCTAAATAGGCCAATAACCACTGATGAAATGGAAGCAGTAATATAAAAAAATTCCAGAAAACAAAAGCCCTGGTTCAGATGGATTCACAGGGGAGTTTTACCAAATATTCAAAGAACTAACACCTATCCTCAAACGAATTCAGAAGAAAGGAACCCTAATTCCAAAGTTAGTTAAAGACACAACAAAGAAATAGAACTACAGGCCAATATCCCTGATGAACATAGATGCCAAAATCCTCAAGAAAATTTTAGCAATCTGGATTCAACAATACATTAAAAAGTTCATATATCATAACCAAGTGGCATTTATTCCGGGAATAAAAGTCTGGTATAGTATTCGCAAATCAATAAATGTGGCACAGCACATAAACAGATTACAAGACAAAAAACACATGATCATATCAATAGATGCAGACATCTTTTTTTGATAAAAACTTTCAGCAAAGCTGGAATAGAGGGAACATACCTCAACATAATAAAGGCCATATATGAGAAATCTTCAGCAAACATCATAAATGGGCAAAAACTAAAACCATTTCCCCTAAGAACAAGAACAAAACAGGAATGCCTTCTTTCACCAGTCTTACTATACAAAGTTCAAGAAATCCTGGCCATAGAGATCAGAAAAGAAGAAGAAATTGAAATACATCCAAGTTGGAAAGGAAGAAGTAAAACTGTCATTTTTTACAGATTACAGAAAACCCTAAAGACTCCATAAAAAAACTACTAGATTTAATAAATGAATTCGTCAATGTAGCAGGATATAAAATTAACACCCAAACATCCATAGCAGTTTTATATACCAATAGTGAACTCTCAGAAAGAGAAATTAAAAACCAAACCAAACCAAACCAATCACATTTACCATTGCAACAAAAAAATTAAGATACTTAGGAATAAACTTAACTAAGGAGGTAAAACACTCATAAAACTATAGCATACAGAAAAAAAAATCTACAGGAAGATATAAACAAGTGGAAGAATATACTATGTTCCTGTACTGGTAGAATCAACATCATTAAAATGTCCATACTCTCCAAAGCAATCTACAGATTCAATGCAATCCCTAGTAAAATACCAAGGGCATACTTCACAAACCGAGAACAACCTCTCCAAAAATTTTATGGAATCAAAAAAGACCCTGAATAGCTGCAGCAATCTTGAGAAAGAAGAACAAAGTTGGAGGGATCATAATAGCAGGTATCAAGTTATATTACAAAGCCACTGTACTCAAAATAGTCTGTTACTGGTACAAGAACAGGCATATAAACCAATGGAATAGAACAGAGAACCCAGAAATAGACCCAAGCCATTATGCTTAAATGATATTTGACAAAGGAGGCAAGAGCATACAATGGAGTCAAGACAGTCTCTTCAATAAATGGTGTTGGGAGAATTGGTCAGATACATACAAAAAAATGAATCTAGACCACCAACTTACACCATAAACAAAAATAAACTCAAAATGGATAAAGGACTTAAATGTCAGAAGGGAAACCATAAAAATCTTAGAAGAATCCATAGGAAGCAAAATCTCAGACATATGTCATAGCAATATCTTTACCAATACAACTCCTAGGGCAATGGAAACTAAGGAGAAAATAAACAAATGGGACTACATCAAAATAAAAAGCTTCTGCACAGCAAAAGAAACCATCAACAAAACAACAAGAAAGCCCACTACATGGGAGAACATATTTGCTAATATTATCTTCGATAAGGGTTTAATCTCCAAAATTTTCAGAGAACTCATACAACTTAACAAAAGGAAGATAAATAATCCAACTTAAAAATGGGCAAAGGACCTAAATAGACACTTTTTGAATGAGGACATACAGAAGGCCAAGAGACACATGAAAACATGCTCAAAGTCACTAATCATCTGAGAGATGCAAATCAAAACAACAATGAGATACCAACTCACACCTGTCAGAATGGCTATCATCAGCAAATCAACAAAGGACAAGTGCTCTTGAGGATGTGGAGAAAAAGGAACCCTCCTTCACTGCTGGTGGGAATGCAGACTGGTGCAGCCACTGTGGAAAACAGTTTGGAGTTTCCTCAAAAAATTAAAAATGGAACTCCCATTTGACCCAGTAATGCCTCTTCTAGGAATATATCCCAAGAAAACAGAAACACCAGTTAGAAAGGACATATTCATTTCTTTGTTCATAACAGCACAATTTACAATAGCTAAGATTTGGATCAGCCTAAGTGCCCATCAGCAGATGAATGGATTAGAAAACTGTGGTACATATACACAATGGAGTACTCTGCTGCTGTAAAAAAGAAGGAATTCTTACCATTTGCAACAGCATGGATGGAACTGGAGAGCATTATGCTAAGCAAAATAAGCTAGTTGGAGAAAGATAAATATCACATGATCTCACTCATTTGTTGAATATGATGAACAAAATAGACTGATGAACAAAAATGGATCAAGAGACAGAGAAGCACCAAACAGACTGTCAAACCTCAGAGGCAAGATAGGGGAGGGCTGGGAGGTGTGGAATGTAAGAGATCAACCAAAGGACTTGTATGCATGCATATTAGCATAACCAATGGACACAGACACTGGGGTGGTGGGGGCTTGTTTAGGGACATGGGAGTGGCCTGGGAGTGGTCAATAGGGGAAAAAGGAGACATACGTAATACTTTAAACAATAAAAAGAAATAAAAATAAAATAAATGGTGCTGGGAAAATTGTACAGATACATTAAATAAGAAAATGAAAAAGAAACTAAACCACCAACTTATACCATACACAAAAATTAGCTCAAAATGGATAAAAGACTTAAATGTACTTAGTGAAACCATAAAATTTTTAGAAGAAACCAGAGGCAGCAAAATCTCAGACATCTCTCGTAGCAATATGCTTACAGATACATCTCTTAGGACAATGGAGACTAAGGAGAAAATAAACAAATGGGACGACATCAAAATAAAAAGCTTCTGCACAGCAAAAGAAACCATCAACAAATTAACAAGAGATCCTACTGCATGGGAGAACATATTTACCAATGATATATCTGATAAGGGTTTAATCTCCAAAACATATGTGGAACTCATACAACTTAGCAAATAGAAGACAAAAGATCAAATTAAAAATGGGCATAAAACCTAAATAGACACTTCTCCAAAATGGACATACAGAAAGCCAAGAGACAAATGAAAAAATGCTCAAAATCACTAATCATCTGAGAGATGCAAAACAAAATGACAATAAGATATCCCCTCACACCTGTCAGAATGGCTATCATCAACAAATCAACCAAAGACCACTGTTGGCAATGTTGTAAAGAAAAGGGAACCCTAGTACACTGCTGGTTGAAATGCAGACTGTTGCAGCCACTGTAGAAAACAGTATGGAGTTTCCTCAAAAAGTTAAAAATGGAACTTCCATTTGACCCAGTTATCCCACTTCTATGAATATTTCCTAAAAAAACTTTAACACTCATCAGAGAGAATATATGAACTCCTATGTTCATAGCAGCACAATTTATAATAGCTAAGACTTGGAGACAGACTAAGTGCCCATCAGCAGATGAATAGGTAAAAACCTGTGGTACATCTACACAATGGAATACTACGAGGCAATAAAAAGAAAGAACTCTTACCATTTGCAACAGCATGGGTGGACCTGGAGAGTATTATGATGAGCAAAATAAGCCAGTCAGAGAAAGATACGTATCACATGATCTCACTCATATGTGGAATCTAATGAACCAAATAAACTGATGATCAAAAATAGACCCAGTATCACAGAAGCATGAATGACTCTTGAACATCAGAAGGAAGGCAGGAGAGGGTGGGTAGGAAGAAATCAATTGATGAACTTGTATGCATATATGCATAACATGTGGACACAGACAATGGGGTGGTTAGGATCTGGGGCAGGGGAGCGAACGGGAAGAAGTATATGGGGGGGAAAAGGAGAACCTATGTAATACTTTCAACAATAAATATTTTAAAAATAAATTAAAATAAAATAGAAACTGAACATATGTTTGGATACAGGTGGTATAGAAGACTAGCTATCCCAAATGTCCTAATTCCAGCAACAAAATTGCTAGATTTAAAAATGTATTTTAAAAAGTGTAGCTGCAATGGCATAAAAATACTCTAGAGAACAAAAAGGTAGTCAAAACATTTAAGTTAGGAATTTCTTCTAGAAAGGTGTGTGTGTATACACTTTTAAAATGAAATTAATTGAATAATATGTGTTGTGGAGGAGAAGATAAGGTGGGAATTCCATAATGAAAATTAAATGTAAAGAGAACACAATAAAATATTTTGATAAATACTTTTATAGAACATCATTACATATAGTTTATGACTACATATGATAAATGCTGAGAAAGGGGCTAATATGATTTTAACAGATTAGAAAGGAAATCATTAGAATGTAGTATTTTTATATGTGTTAGGTATTTTCTGATGTTTTAAGTATTTTATAAAGGGTAAAATTAAAAAGTATACTACAAAACATTCTGAGTGATTAGATACTTATTTTATATTATTTTTTACCTTGATTGTTATAGGGTGAAAAATTGATGACGTTTGATGACAATTTAGTTGGTGTAGTAGGACTTGTAAAAAAATCTTCTTGATGTGTGGACATATCTCTGTTTTTAAAGAAATTCACACCTAAAATTAAAAAAATTATACAAAGATACTATGACTCTGCATGCTAGTTATCTCCCATGTATTATTTTTTAATTCTGAAATTATAATTTTTTCTTCTTATGTTTGATAGGCATTTGTCTATAACTCCAATTTCTATAAACTCTTTGTTCATTTTCTAATCCTTTATTTTCTCTGGGTTCTTAGATAGCATTTTCCTTAATTTTGACCTTTAAATCAACCCATTTTTACCTTAAACAAGAGTATTCACTTCTATCTTTGATCTATAGTCTCCTTTTAACTCTCTTCCCCTTGACAATTTCTATCAAATAGAGCATTTAATTGTTTAGAGCATTTAATTATAAATTCACCATCTATAAATATAAAAGCCTAAGCCACCATTACAACCGAATGACTGGAACAACTGGAATGACTGGTTTACCAGTTGCTATGATGCACACTGACCACCAGGGGGCAGATGGTCAACACAGGAGCTGCCCCCTGGTGGTCAGTGCATTTAGCCAGCAGCCGGGTTCATGTCTGCCAAGCACTGCTGTGGCAGAGGGAGCCTCTCTCGACTCTGCAGCAGTGCTACAAGTGGTGGCGGCAGGTGCAGCAGGCTGGGATGAGTGCAAGCAGTGAGGTGCTGGCTCAGGCTCCTCTCTGGCCACCTGCTGCTTGGTGCACTGCTACATCCCTCGGGGGATGTCCCACTGCCGGTTTAGGCCTGATCCCCACAGGCCAGGCACTTGGGGTGGGGGCATCCCTCAACCTGGCCTGTGTCCTCTTGCAGTCTGGGAACCCTCAGTGGATGTCTGACTGATGGCTTAGGCCTGCTTCCCATGGGGAGTGGGCCTAAGCTGTCAGTCGGACATCCTTAGCACTGCTGCAGAGGTGGGAGAGGTTCCCACCACCATTGCTGCACTCACCAGCAGTGAGCCCGCTTCTGGATGAGTGGCACTCCTCCTGTGGGAGTGGACTGACCACCAGGGGGCAGCTCCTGCATTGAGGCATACCCCCTAGTGGTCAGTGCCTGTCATAGTGACCGGTCGTTCTGCCGCTCAGTTGATTTGCATATTAGCCTTTTATTATATAGAATGTTACCATAATAAATTCAATAAAAAGAGAAAAAAAATTAGTAATTGGGTGTACCTAAGCAAAAACCTGAAAATTATTGACATAGAAAAATGGTTTATCATAATTTACCAAATTTTTTAGAGTAAATCAGAAAACAAATTGCTTGCTTCAAACAATTTTATATTTACACCACCAGCTTTTCTCTGTTATAAGCTGTTTAAGTAAATAATTTTTGATTCATTTTAATAATACTTTTTTCAGGAATAAAAGTGTGAAAAGAATAAAATAAATGATAAAAGAACAGTTTCGGAAATCTTGCTCTCATCTTAAATTTCAGTAAGAACACAGTGCTTATATATGAATATTCAGCTACTTCTAAATCTAACTTTCACCATCAATTCTGCACTAAAGTTCATAACTACAGTATTTCTTACATCAAAGAGAAACGTATCTAACACTGTTATTCTAGGACTAAAGACAGTACTGTGATTTGTGAATTATGTAACACAGCTAGAGAATACTATTCTAGTCTATATATATATAAAAGTCTAAGCGACCATCCAACTGTTTGACCGTCTGACTGGTAGCTATGATGCACAATGACCACCAAGGTGCAGATACTCAATGCAGGAGCTGCCAAGCTGCGGTGACTTGGCAGCTGCGGTTCTCGGGTGATGCACTGGGAACCAGAGTAGAGGGAGCCCGATTCTGGGACATGTCAGCCTGGAACTGCCCTCTCACAATCCAGGACTCCTCGGGGGATGTTGAAGAGCCAGTTTCAGCCAGATCTCTGCAGGCCAGGCCGAGGGATGCCACCGGTGCACAAATCTGTGCATCAGGTGTCTAGTAGAGGTATAAATTTATGGGCCAACTTATTTAGAGGGAATTGGTATCCAATGCAATGCCTATCGGCTATATTTCTCTTCTTATAACACATATTAAATAGTTTTTTTGCTTTTTCACATTCAGATCAACTTTCCTTTCTAATCCTTTCAATAGAAAGTGAGTGGAATAGCAGTTGGGAATATTTACACCAAAAATATTCTAAGGTCACTAGAGCATTAGATTTTATGGATTACTTTATAATTTGATGGGTTTTTAAAGCCAATAAAACCTAGCTTGCTTTCTATTGATAGTAAAGTCTAGAGTTTAGCTAATTATAAGAGGGAATTCATTAAAAATTTTACCCATGTAGTAATAACAGATAGTTACTGTTGTTATTAAAGATCCATACTTAGTTAAACCTTGGAGGAGACATAATCTATAAATATTAAACTTGAAAAATTCTTGTTCTTACCAGCATAACTCCTAAGTTGTTCCCTGATTTCAGCAATTATTTTTTCGTTTCCAACAGTATCTGTCAAATGTTCCGTATCAGTCTCTATAAACATAAAATATATTTCAAAAACACTTTTTATGGTAACCATTAATAGACATGTGTGATTGTGTCTATGGTACTACTTAATTAGTATTTGCTATAGAAGAAAAATAATAAATGTCTGACATTGCACAATCAGAAAAACTTAGAATTTGAAGAGCTCTTAGTAATCATATAAGCCTCATTATTTGGAGGCTTAGAGATTTTTTGTGATTTGATTAAGAACACATATCAAGATAATGACAAAACTGACATATAAACTGATGTTCCATAATTCCTTAACCAGTACTTTTTCTATACAGGGCTATTTCCTATACAAACTTAAATCATTTTGGGGAGTTTATGTTCATAATATAACCTCCAAGTTTATACTCAGAGGACATTCATACTTGTAGGAGTATACCTCTTGAGGTGGAGCATAACATTTTTGTTCACAAGTTAAATCACAAACCAAGGTCCCACATCACAGAAAGTTACTATAAGGTAGAAATTCTTTAACTCTCTCAAGAATATTTTATGCACTTTTTAGGCTATGTAATTGTAAATCAAGTGGGCATCAATGATGTAGAAAAATAATTTACTCTGTGGTCTAAGAACAAATGCCTACCAGGTTCCTTTAATACATATACATTATAGCTGGGGAGAGGTAAAAAGGGTAAAATTTATAGCAATATAGTTAATCCTTGATTTCACAGACTTTGATTTAACTGACTTTGGATTTAACAAACAAAATTTCCAGTCAATATGTCATATGTGAAAATTTACACCTTGTTAATTTTAAAATGCTTTTAACTAAGATTTGTTTATAATTAAATTAACAGGTCATTTTCTTATTATTCACTGTTATTTTTAACAAATTTTAGCTAATAGGCCATAGGTTGGAAGAAAACACCATAGTAATTTTGCTGACATACATATTACATATCTACAGCTATAGTCTACATATTTAATTCCAAGAGTCAGCACTTATAAACAATGTCCAGTGAACGATTAGCTCATGACCATGTCGCATGGCACACTTTTTGAAGCAGTTTTAACATGTGCTGGCTAATGTTCTGACTTGCACTAGGCCATGCCCCAGCCATATGAATTTTGTTTACTCACAGTGACTGGTGAATGCATGCATTCAGTATAAATTTGAAATTACTGTATTAATTTCTGAGAAATTGAACTTTTTATATATACTTAATTTTAATTACACAAATGTGTCTACATAAGTAAAAACAGGTAAACTTTATCTAATTTGTCAATTTTTTAATATATGCACTTGGAAAACCTACTTTATTATATAACAGAATTTCAGCTTTAATGGACAACTCCTTGCCTGAATTAGGTCATTATATTGAGGTTTTACTGTACTGGCATTGGGATTACAGCTATTTGATCTTTTAATTCGATTTGACATTTTTGCTGAATTTAAAAGCTAATTAGGTAAAATGAAAGGAAAAGAATATGAGTATTATTAAAGAGGAGTTCATATTGAAAACGGGATTATTAGAATAGGTGACTTCTGCCAAACAATGTATTTAATGTTTTGTGAATGAAAGTTGGTTGTAGGAGAGCAAGTACCAAAGGTTAGAAACCTATCATGAACCTGACACTATAAGGTGGATGGATATGTTTGTTGTAATGCCTGAGACCATGAGACATGTTAACGGTTGCACTATGACCTTTGCAGCTCAAATATACATCTAGTGCAATATAAAAAAGAGATGGAAACTACCTTGGTTTTCATAATTATAAAAATGAATAAGAACACATAAAAAAGGAAAACAACTTTCAATAAGTACAAAACTACATTTTGTGAAAGTAATGAGTTACAGCAATGCAAAATGAGATATTAGTAGATGCATTTGAGACTCTTTGGTTCTTTTTCAACTGGCATAAGTAAAAAGGAATGGGCCATAGAAACGAGCATGCAGAGATGCTTAAATAAATAAGGAGGCATTATAAAGAACATTTGATAAGAGGTTGGATAAGATTAGGAAATAAAATATGTGCTAGATAAACAATATGGTAAGAATCACAAGCTCCCATCTTCACAATATCCTTCCATTACTCTACTAATTTTTTTAAAACCAATATTCCCTGGAGTTTAAAAGGTGTAGTTTGCACTTCACTGTCCCTTTTCATGTCTCACATATTTTGTTGTAAAAACTGGGCATTTTAGTCAATGTATTGCAGCAAATCTGGGTACTGGGTTCCCTCCACCCAGTTGGAAGCTTGTTGTCATTGTGTGCCTGGTCATTTATTGAGTGATGAGGGCCGGACTATTTTATATTTTACTGAAGTGTCTTTCCCTGCTATGTCAAGCTTTTAGTGTGTTCCTGTGAGGGCACGGACTTGGGGCAAGAAGACCATACCTTTTGGATGACTGGTATTATGCCAGCCTTTCTCTTATTGTCTCCTTCCCTGATTGCTGTTAACCTACCTGCATCCATTGGTACCATGTCAAAGATCCTGATGAAGTGTGTTAAGCACTGATCTAACAGGACAGGAAGCAGTAGTCTATACTATAAACTATATTTTAAAAACTCCTAAAGGTTGCTACTTCACTTTAGATATTACAAATTTGCCTGATAGTTTAATCACATGGAGGGACTTAATAACCGATGCAATGTCCCTTTTCTAAATTCCTCCTCTAATCCCATTCATTAGGTAGCTTTTCTGCCTTTGCAAGTACAATGCAACTATATGATAGGACCTGCAAAAGAAAGTGAGTAGAACAGCATTTTATAGGCTTCCAACAACCATATTCCAAGCTCACAACAATATTATTTTTTTGTGGATCACTTTAAACGAATGAGTTCTAAAACATATTATGTAGCTAATTATCTACTGATTTAGCTGCTAGAATTCCATTAATTATAACGGGAAATTATGAAGTTCTATCATGTAATAATAGCAAATAGGTGCCATGCTGGTGTGGTTCAGTGGTTGAGCATCGACACATGAACAAAGAGGTCACGGTTCGATTTCCGGTCAGGGCATATGCCTAGGTTATGGGCTTAATCTCTGGTGGGCGGTCAGAAGGAAGCCAATCAATGTTTCTCTCTCATCATTGATGTTTCTGTCTCTCTCTCCCTTCCTTACTCTGAAATTTAAAAAAATATGAAAAATAATAGCATATAGGTACTGTGGTCATTAAAGATCCAAACTTAAATTTCTGAGACGATAAATAAACCATAAATAGACTTGAAATACTCTTGTTCTTACTAGCATGCCTCTTTGATTGTGTCTTGACTTTCCCCTTTATTAGACCTCTTCCAGGAGCATTCAGTATTTGTTCTGTATCAGCCTCTATAAAAATAGACAATTATTAACAAGTATGTGAGTGTGAAGGGTGCAGTACTAAAAATAGTATTTTTTATTATAAGAGGATTATAAGGAAATAACTAAATTTGGCAAAATGACTGAGAACATGAATGTCACCATGGCAATACATACATATACCACAACAATCTAAACAGAGGTGAAGTCCAAATGGGGCATCATTAGCAAAGCCAAAGACACACTGGATTGGGCAGAACAACACAGTAAGTTATGACATTTGTGAAAGTGACACCAGTTATAGCAACACATGACAGGACAACCTTAGCAGACATTCCTTTGTCTTCCTCTAATAAACAAAAAGAAGAATTGATTCATTTGAATTGAGGGAGCAAAAATTCTTAGATAATCAGAATCAGATTGGTTTTAAAACTATGAGCAAAAAAGGTATGTGGTAGAGAAACCTATAATCTATAAAGAGACACAATTTTCTCATTTCACAAATTCTTACCATTGCTTTCTTTTTCTTTCTTAAAAATTTTGACAGTATTACAGATGTCCCCAAATCCCCGACCCCCTACAAGCCCATCTCTACCCAGACCTTGCCCACCCCATACCTTCACTACTCGATTGTCTGTGTCCATGGGCTATGCGTATATGCATTTAAGGTCCTTGGTTAATCTCTTCTTGTCTCTTCCAGCCCCCTCTCCTTTGAGATCTGTCAGTTTGTTCCATGTATCCATATCTCTGGGTCTATTTTGATCATCAGTGTATTTGTCTCATTAGGTTCCACATATAAGTGAGATCATTTGATACTTGTCTTTTTCTGACCAGCTTATTTCACTTAGTATAATAGTTTCCAGGTCCCTCCATGCTGTCTCAAAGGGTAAAAGACCCTTCTTTTTTACTGCTGCACAGTATTCCATGGTATCAATGTATCACAACTTTATTATCCATTTATCTCCTGATGCAGACTTGGGCTGTTTCCAGATCTTAGCTATTGTAAATTATGCTGCTATATGTTCTTTCTGATTCATCTTTTTGGTTTCTTAGGATATATTCCCAGAAGTGGGATCTCTGGGTCAAATGGCAATTCCACTTTTCATTTTTTGAGGAAACTCCATGCTGTTTCCAGAGTGACTACACCAGTCTGCATTCCCACCAGTAGTGTACTAGGGTTCCCTATTCTCCACATCCTCACCAGCACTTATCATTTGCTGATTTGTTTATGGTAGCCATTCTGACAGGTCTGAGGTGATACCTCATTATCATTTTAATTTGCATCTTTCTGAAGATTAGTAAGTTTGAGCATTTTTTCATGTCTCTTGTCCATCTGTATATCCACTTTGGAGAAGTGTCTATTTTGGTCTTTTGCCCATTTTTAAATTGGATTGTTTGTCTTCCTTTTGTTAAGTTGTATGAGTTCCTTATATATTTTGGAAATTAACCCCTTATCTGACATATCATTGGTAAATATGTTCTCCCATGCAGTGGCCTCTCTTTTCATTTTGTTGATGATTTCTTTTGCTGTGCATAAGCTTTTTATTTTTATGTAGTCTTATTTGTTTATTTTCTTCTTATTTTCCTTGCTCTAGTAGATGTATCCATAAACATATTTCTGTGAGAGATGTCTGAGATTTTGCTGCCTGTGGTTTCCTCTAGGATTTTTATGGTTTCATGACTTATACTTAAGTCATTATTTGCAGATGACACAATATTGTATTTATAAAACCCTACACTTCACTAAAAAACTACTAAATGTAATAAATGAATTCAGCAATGTATCAGGATATAAAACTAACACCCAGATATCCCTGACATTTTAATACACACATATGATATCTCAGAAAGAGACACTAAACAAACAATCCCATTTATAATTGCAACCAAAAATTAAGATACTTGGGAATAAACTTAACCATGGAGGAAAAGACATGTACTCAGAAAATTACAGGATGTTGAAAAAAAGATAGAGGAAGATATAAACAAGTGGAAGAATATACTGTGTTCATGGATTGGTAGAATCAACATTATTACAATGTCCATACTACCCAAAGCAATCTATAGATTCAAATTAAAATACAAACTGCATATTTTAAAGATATAGAATATATATATATATATATATATATATATATATATATATATATACACACACACACAAAAGACCCCAAATGGCCACAGCAATCATGAGAAAGAAGAACATAGTTGGAGGGGTCAAAATTCCAGATATCAAGTTCCACTACAAAATCACTATAGTCAATACATCCTGGTATTGACACAAGAATAGGCATATAGATTAATGGAACAGAATATAGAACCCAGAAATTGACCCAAGCCATTAAGCTCAATTAATATTTGACAAAGGAGGCATGAGCATACAATGGAGTAAAGACAGTCTCTTCAATAAATGGACAGGTACATGCAAAAAAACTGAAACTAGACCATCAACTTACACCATACACAAGAATAAACTCACAATGGGTAAAGACTTAAATGTGAGTTGTGCAGATTTTCAGTTTGATGTAGTCTCATTTGCTCATTTTTTATTTTTGTTTCTCTTGTACTAGGGGATGTATTGGTGAAAATAATGCTACATGAAATGTCTGAGATTTTGCTGCCTATGGTTTCTTTCAAGAATTTAAGTATTTTATCCATTTTTAGTTTATTTTGTGTATGGTGTAAGTTGGTGGTCTAACTTCAAATTTATGCATATACCTGTCCTATTTCCCCAACACCATTTATTGAAGAGACATTCTTTCTATACAATTTCTTATGAAGTGGTCCTGCGATCAAAGAATTATCTCTCTTTTTATTTATTTAAGACTCTCTTTGTATCACTTTCAATTTTTTGTGCCATTTTGGTTTATTAAAATACAATGCATATCTATATAATAAAGAGCCAGGGTTGTAATAACAATTACCACCGAAGGCTCGAGCAGACCGGAAGTCAGTGCTGGATTGCCATGGCGACCCAGCACTGACTGGGGCACTGCAGGAGCCCTGACCCAGCACTGACTGCCTAGGGGGCTGCAGATCAGGCCTGGAGAGAGGCCTGCAGAGAGAGAGGCAGGGTCTGATCCATAGCCTCTGTGGCAGCCATTGATCAGAACTTGCCTCTCTTTCTTTCCTGGTCGGGCCAACAGCCATGCCTTCATTTCTCTCCAGACCTCCACGGGGCTGCTGACCAGCCCCACCTTTCTGATCAGGCCCTGTTGATAGGCCCAGAGATGCTGACTGGCATAGAAACTGACCAATCAGGACCAGAGAAAATATGGCTGCTGATAAGAAGGCAGACTGCAAGACAGTGTGAGAGTGAGAGAACAAAAGGAGAGTATGTGGATGTACTGAGAGTGTAAATTTGTGGGAAAGCGATAGCTATACTCCAGGGGACTGTTGGAGACTGATGGATCGGGCTCCCCCAACCGGGCAGCTTCCACTGCTGCTGAAATCTCTCCCAGAGCAGCCTGCTCAGCCTCGGAGACCACGCCATCTTGAGTGGCTGATATCGGAAGCATATACATCCAGAGACTCTGCAACCATGGCACCCAGGGACCAGCTATGAACCCAGGAACACCTGATCTCAAGCAGCGCAAATATGTGGACTCAGATGAGCCCTGCTCCTACTCACGGAAAAGTCAGATTTCACCTAGATAAAGGTGTGGTTTGCAATTCAGGTTGGAGAGAGGAACACACGCAGGGGAAGTCTGCACCCCACAAAGTCCGCGGCCATTGGGGCCAGCATGATCCGCGAGTGTGGGAGGGGTCCCGCAGGGCTTCTGGCAGAAGGGAACTCTAAAAATCAGCCCATAGCTTCACTGGGTGCAAAAAAGGCAGCCTCAGATTTTTCCAGTGTGCTGGCTGCTTAGTGTCAGGGGAGAGAGGATGTGTGAAAGAGACTTTGGGAGAATTGCGCACAGAGCTGGATGGTGGAGGGTTACGAGCTTGCGCACTTACTCTGGCTCTTTTTTTTTTTCTCTCCTTAAATCTTTGCTTTTGATTATTAAACCCAATACATAGGATTGCCCAATTGGGGTCACTCACAGAGACTGCAGGGGAAAGTTTTTGTGGAACGTGGGAATCAGAGTGGGGAGTAATGATCAAGGAACCAGCTCTTGGGCAGTCGACTCTCCCAAACCAGTATTAAGTGTGATAGGGAGAACAAAACCTAAATACTGGCTAGAGAGGACTTATAGCCTTGGAGGTCAACCCAGAAACACTGCTACCCAGGGGCTGAACCACAAACTGACTCTTCTGTAAATACAAATAAAGGCAGTCTGGGAAACAAAGAAATACTGCCTGCTTTAAAATCAGGACTGTGGTTTACAACATGGAGGAACAGTGTATCACAGGGAACTTCAACACTCTCCTGAATACGTGGCAGGACTAAGGCGTGCCAAACAGAAGAATAGAGGAAATGAAGGACCTTCACTACTGCACATTTTTATTTTTTTCCCCTTTAATTAAGAAACTAATTTCTTTTTCTTTTTTCCTCACCTGATTTTACCTTTTTAATTACTACATTTTTATTTTTAACCAGTATAATTACTACTACCATTTTACCTTTTTTTAAAGTGTCATTTTATTTTCTCTTTATTTTATTTTGAGATTAGTGTTCTACATTCTATTTTCATCTTTCTTTTAGCATCATTTTACTCTATCTCAACTTTACCTTTATGCCAAAACTCTCACTTTTCCCCTTTTGTTATTATTTCTCTTACCCTATTCCTGCTTTAGATTTTCCCTATTCATTCTTTCTAACCCCTGTTAAAATTGTACCCTAATTATATATCTAATTTCCAATCCCTTGCTCTAAGTCCATATATACCTCTCTCTTCTCTTTTTTCACTATCCAAATTCTTTTTCTCTCTGTTATTTTGTTGTTGTTTGCTTGATTGTTGATTATATTGGGTCTTTTTATGCTTCTTTGTGAGATTGTTTCACTTTTTCTTTATCTTTTTGTTTGTTTGTTTGTTATGTTTTGCTTCTGTTTTCCCTAGCCTTGCTTGATATTAGTTGTTGTTTCTAGT